TGTAAGCTTTTAGCTCTGTTTATTTATAGTCGATTGAGTTATCTCAGCCCGGTGTCTTTATGGGGGATTAATGGTGCGGTTCACTTTCCAAACCACCTATTTTTGCATCTTTTAATAGGCTGTCACTTTCCAAACGTATTTCCACCTTATGGATAAAACAATATATTATAAAGCATTTACCATCCAAAACACATGTTTTACATCTTAAACATGGGCATTTAGTTTCCAAATCACATTTTGTTTTTGCAGCATAATAACTTAATAGGGTGTTATAATATTCAACGTCAGTAACTAAGCTTTATACATGAAAGTCTTGAGGTTAAAATCAGTGAGTTGTTTGATTGACAAGCTCTTTTTCAAGTAAAAAATATATCTGAGTAAACGTCAACAGAGGTATAGACAGGGATCTCAAGTGTGCCTCTTAAGCACCCATAACGAATACGAAATGACAAATCAAAGAGGCCAACATGTACAGTTGCAAGAGAGCTGTCCTTAATTAGAAAATGAAATTATGTTTGGTGTTGTGCGGGGTCAAGAAACTATTGGAAACATCGGCCGCAGAATCATGATTTCTCTCCAGAGCAAATAAAAATATTTAAATTTTAAAAATTAATAATAATAATAATAAAAAAACAACTTAAGATAAGAAAATAATAATAAAAAAACAACTTAAAAAAAGAAACAGAAAAACAACATGGCGAATGACTAATTATGAAAAGTCTATCTAAGGGAGATAAAAACAGTAATTATTAGTGAGAAATAAAGTTGTAACACAGTTATTTTCCTTGGATATGCCATGGTTTTCGCAGCCAGCACTGACTAAAGCATATTAACATGGGCACATAAATAATAGTAAATAGCATTTGTGTTGCGCTTATCCTCTCTCAACAGCATGCTCTATGACTATGAGCTTTCTTATCTGTATTATTACCCCATGCAAACACTAGAATACTCAGAAACATTATCACCTTCCTGGGAAACAAATGACATCTCATTCCTTCTCAGACAGAAAATATGAGTCATTATAAATTCAAATGTTCATTTAGCAAAAGCACTTTTTGTGGCAAAAACAAAGGTGATGATAAGGTCATCACTGAATTCAAGGAAATCGCTACCGATCGGTCTTTTGAAACTGTGGCTTCATAAACACAACTTTGGCATGAAGAGCAATAAGTGTAAAACAAATTCGTTTCCTTTTTAGTAAAGAAGTACAGTAAAAGTGAACTTTGTAAACCAGTCAGTGCCCAGTCAGATAAAAGAAAAAAAAATCTTCTGATACAAAGCCAAAGTATAGCATGTTTGGTATTGATCTTTTTTCATTTTATTATCTAGAATACAAAAATGCATGTAGGCCTATATCATTTCCCATTATAATGACTATTCCTTCTACTGTTTAGTCAGCATTGAACCTTTCTTGTCACAAAGTGCTCTCAAGTTCAAATAACATTTATAATAGTTCATGTCTGCCCAAATATAATCCATTGATAAGAAAGTCAACTATAGGCTTTTTATCAGCAACGCGAACATATCTACCATTTAAAAAAAAGAGTATATACAAAATCTATAACACTTATCACCATTCTTGATATTAAGAGATGAAAATATATGTGATATGCAGTTAGTGTGTCATTCTAAAGGGTAAAAATAGGGAGGTTGCTGAAACTAGCCCTTGAAAAATGGGCATTGAAAAAAAAACCCCAAACAATAACGTTAATGTGCTTGTGTAAATTGCATAGATAAATTATTTACATGTGTGGAATAAGGTTTGAGTACATTGTGAAAACAATGTTCTCACCACTCTTTTTTAATTTCAAGACTGGTATTACTGCATGAGTCTTACTATCAGTCCCATTGCAGAAAATTTAAAAAAAATGTATAATATGTATCAAGTTGAAAAGTCACTTTACTTTGTGGTCATGCATTGCGTAGGCTTTTCTCATATTTCACAACAAACATTTTGAAACTTGGATACAACATTATAAAAATAAAAGAAATACCTTTTTAGTGTCTTCTTATATTTACAGCTTTTCATAAAACATTAGTAATAAAAATGTACTGTATGCATAGCAAATAAGAGACAGTTGCACAAGTGAGTCTTCACCTTGAAGGAAATAGTCTGATTACTGATGCTGCCAAGTTGTCCTCTTACAGAAAAGGAATATTGGAGTGAGTGAGAGAGAGAGAGAGAGAGAGAGAGAGAGAGAGAGAGAGAGAGAGAGAGAGAGAGAGAGAGAGAGAGAGAGACAGAGACAGAGAGACAGAGAGAGAGGGAGAGAGGGAGAGAGGGAGAGAGAGAGAGAGAGAGAGAGAGAGAGAGAGAGAGAGAGAGAGAGAGAGAGAGAGAGAGAGAGAGAGAGATGATAAGCCAATATTCTCAAGACTGACTGATGCAATGAAATTTTCAGAAGAAATTTAAGTTGCTTGAAAATTATCAACCACCAAGAAAGAGGCGGTTTTGAGCTTAGACACAGGCAGGGTACGTTAATTCAAGAATTCCCTTGTAATCTTTATATAAGATTGAGGCTTTTACAAAATCAGAAAAACAATTTTAGAAGTAGGCCTACATGTATGTACTTCAGTAGGCCTCCACGTGAAGAAAAATTACTACCTAAATTTATCCCTGTGAAATTTAGCCTGCTCAAGTGCATTCATACCATCAAAGCATTTGATGATGCAATTATACATAGCAATAACTTACAATCAGATCATTAAAAGCGTGCCACTGCTTCACTACTTATCTACACAGCACAATACAATGTTTTAACAAGTCTTGATAAAGAACACTTCTGACCACCTGTTTGAAAGTTGCTCACCCAACATGTTGCTTGTGAACCCCCTCCTGTTCCCCAGCCACTGAGTACACCTAGTTAAGTATCTTTTTGTAACATGCCCTAGATCTATATTCAGTTTTGCTTTGAAAAATGTTGTTTTTAAAGCACAAAAAAGTAAACATCTTTGCTCCTCTCAACTACATCAATATTCTTTGATCTCATAAAGAATTTTCATATCATGATAGGGACAGGCTTTTAGTCTTTTGGACTTGACTGACCGCATCTTTTGTGCAAAAGGGGTGATGATAAAACTACAGATTTAAAGAAAACAACTGGATTTTAAAAGCTGTATGGTAGGTTTTTTGTTTGTTTGTTTTTTGTTTAGAGAGGAGGAGGTGTAGGCCTATATGTAGATCATGCTCTGATAAAAGTGAATAGATATTTGTAAGGAAAAATATTGTGCTGCAAGGTCTGGACAGAATATTACCATAAATGTGTAACTGGTTAGGACAATTGAAAATACAGTATTGTTAGGAAATTTGCTGGAATTGGACACACTTGTGTACAGTTCATAATAACTTTATTTTCACAAATATTCTGGTATCAAAATATGACGCGTAACTGGGTTCAAAAGTGACCAAAGTTGGATAAGAGATGATAAGAGGAAAAAAATATTTTGAATTTTTACAGAAAGAAAACAGGCCTAGTATATGACAACAATAAGAACAGTTAACACAGAATCTATGAAATTTTTCTATTTACAAAAGAGAGTTCTTCAGAGCTTGTCCTGCTTACATTCACATAATGTATGCTTATATGTGCAGACAAAAATACATCAAAATAAACACATGCACAGATTTTCCTTAACATATACACATGGACAGAGTTACAAGCTAGTAGAATCGAATCTACTGATGTGAATATTCACGAACCTTCAGAAACATAGCACCCAAAAGAGGTATATATATAGGTCCATCATTCAATTATGCACACTCATAATTGGTTGTTATTATGAATCTTTCTCTGGTTAAACATTTTCAGCAAAACAAAAACAAAGAATTAAAAATTCAAAGGTTATACATAGTAGAGAAGCGTATTGAAAAAATGAAAGCCTGTTTGCAGAAAAAGCAAGGCATTTATCATTATATGCTCCATCCTCCTCGTCAACTTATATTTAGACTTGTTTTATACAAAAATATTTGTAACCACTATTTTAAAAACCTATTTTGTTCCAACTATATTGTAGAAATATTTGTTTCCTTCTCTCACCATCACAGGTGGAAAAGAGGGAGAAGTTGGTACGGGGGGGGGGAGGGAGCTATTGTGAATAGTGTGATGCTATCTAATAGTTTTGATTTAAAGCTCAACAAGGCATAGAATAACAGCACTCTCAAATGGGGTGCAAAAACTAAAATCAGAACCCATTTTTCAAAATGAACATTGCCACTGAGGTTGGAAGATTAGAACAGAGTGGGTTTGGGAATGACTTAGTCACTAATGTACACAATGGATTTGTTGTAGGGTAACGGCATCAGTGAGAGGCCTGTCAAATCTGATGAAAAACACTCCTATTTATTGTGATGTGAAACACCTGTAGGGCTCAGAACCAGGTTACAGATATGTATGCTACACTTCAAAAGACAATGTGTACCACACACAACAAAAAACATTATTGTTCAAGATGTGGCTCATTTCATCAAAACAAATAGAGTAATTATAAAATCAAAGAAATATAAATGGCAAGAGAGGTCAACTTGCATGTTAGAAAGAACATATGACATGTAGTAGTTTTGATGTAGTCTTTGAAAATATGCTGGAAGAAAAATTACATGGAAAAGATTGCTTCTATCTCTCAGAGTAGTTTCTCAATCGGCATCTTTGAAGCAAGAAAATCAACTAACTCATTTGTACCTTTCACATGGTCAGTAAATATTAAAAATAGGGATCCTAACATTTATTGCAACAATGACGATGTGTAAACAGGATTTTTAACAATCCATTTAGATAAAAATCTCAAGGAATTTTTTTTCTCACAAATTAGGCAATAATGTGTAAAACAAAAAAATATACATCTACGATCAATGGAAATCATCACTTTTTTAAAAAGAAAAGCATATCAACTTTCTATAAATGACATGCAAAACTCATACTTCCATGATAAAATGGAATAAGGACACTTTTGGAGTGATAAATTTGTAACATTTAAAACCCAACAAAAATTCTTTTGTGTTTCAGCAATCGTTCTGAAATGTGGGGTTCTCCATGTGCAGATGTTTTTGACTTGCCCGAACAGATCTTTTGAGGTGAGCAATGTCTTCTTGGTCATCATCACTAGATAATTCCACATCTTCATCTTCATCATTTTCTTGACGAGTTTCCTCTCCACGGATAGAAACATTTTCTTCTCCATTCATGCTGGTAGAAGAGGTTGTTACTTGATCTATAATCAATGATGATTGCAAAATTCTCTGAGACCTGGGAGGAGGCACTATTTCATCGGGGTCACTCAGTTGCTGTGGAGGGGTGTCTTCATTGACTCCAGGGTTTGTTTGAGCATCAGGATCACTGGAAGAAACTTCATCGGTTTGAGCTGAGCTCAGATCAACATGAAGGCTGTTGTCATAGGGGCTGCCATCTGATAAAAGAATACCCAAAAAGTGTGAAAGTGTGAGGGAAAGACTCTGTTACTGTAAAAAAAAAAAAAAAAGCAGAAGTAATTCCTTAAGTAGAAAAAGTATGTTCTATAGACGATTTTGAATTTTCAATCTTTTTGAATAAATCCTATACCATTACAACTGTCCCATTTTTTTCTTCACACATTACAAAGCCAGTAGCTTCTTCACATCTTTTGATTTCATTATTTACTTCCATACATAACAAAAAAAGGCTAATGAGAAAAAGACTTTACATACACATACTTTCACATCTCTTCCTCGAATACTTACCAGAGACAAACTGTAAGTTTATGGCCATTTCATCAAGATCTTGGTAATCATCCTCTTCATTGTTGTCATATATTGCCTCTCTCTGTCTCTGGGATTCATTCCGTAGTCTTTCAAAATCTGAATAAGGATTCTCTTCTGCTTTTTCCCTGCCAGAAGCCCTTTTAAGTTCAGTAGCAGATGGGCTCGTTTTCTTTTCATCTGGAGCTCTGGCAAACAAAAACACAAGAGAAAGACAAGATATGAGCATGTTAAGAGAACCAGTACATGCATAGTCCAAAATGCACATTCCGCAAAAATTGCATTGTTCACTTTTTGCACTGTGTTTTAACAACTCATTTTTTTTTTTAAACCAAGAGATGTGCACTTTTCAGGAAGATGTAGACAGGACAGACAGTAAATATTCATGTTACATACTCTTCAGTATGGAAAATGATAACTCACACTTATAAAGATATTGCTCTCTGCAAACAATGCTAGCAGTCTGTAGAGATTGGGAAAAGAAAATCAAATCTTGACTGTCTTTAATTGTCATGACAGTATTTGATTCTGTCTTGCCAATGCTAGAATTGATAAGACTATTGTTCCGCTGAAAATAACCCCCCCCCCCCAGCAAACTCCACTTAGAGGTCTCCTGATCATTAAAAAAAAAAACACTTGAAAAAAATATTCTTTTCATGCACTGTACCAGTCACTACAGTGTTCCTATTATTCTTACATTTTTCCTCCAACTGCTCCTTGACTTTCATCTACATTCTCAAAACTTGGCTTCACTATGTCATCATTCTCTGTTGGGACTGCAGGAAGGGTCTGGAAATGAAGAGAAAAATTAATTCCTAAGGCATCTATTTCTTCATCAATAAATCCATCCACTTTCACATTCATCCATACTTCTGTCTATTCTTCAACAATTCGTCTATAGTTCATCCATCCATCCAAGTATTCTTAATAATTCTGTGTGTTTGTATTCTAAAAGTCCATCTGCATTTATCAGCCTCTTCACCACTTTGGCTGTCACATGTAAATCACTAGTGTAGGCTACTGACCTTTCATGTAAAAACTAAAGCATAACCACACACACCCACTCGTAAAGTTATGAACAAACATTAAACAATAAGAAGCAAAAGTTATCTAAAAAAACACTGCGAAGAAAAATAAGCTTGGAAAAGATCGACAATGTTTTATTTTTAATGTGATTCCGCTGGCGCGTAAAAATTATAATATCATTTCTTTATTTAGGGCACCATACCTTGATGTTCCACTTGTGTTTTTACGTTGTTCTTGACGTCACACATTTTCTCAAGGTAACAACCACAGGTACTACTACTACTAATAAATAGCATTTGTATAGCACATAACCCTGCTCTACAGCAAGCTCTATGCACTTTACACTATACTATTACCCCAGCAGACCATAGAACACACAGACACATTCTCAGCTTCCCGGGAAGCATACAGTCCAAGCAACTGATTAAGCACTCAAACACTAACAAACTGACAAGATCTTTCGCTGTTTATAGCTGGGTACCCATTCCCACCTAGGCGAAGAGGGGAAAATTCGTGTAAAGTGCCCTTCCCCAGAACACAACGTCAGGTCCCTGACAAGACTCGAACCTATGACCTTACAGTTGCGAGTCCGAGAGCCTAACCACTAGGCCACCAATGCCACTAGTACATCAGCTTGTTAGATTGAATATTTGAGTAAATCATGGTCATTTAGTGCGAAGAAAAAGCAAGACAATCAGATAGAAAGAACAAAGAGAAGGGAAGGAAGTAGGACATGACAGTGGCATCCTCCAATCACCTGCTAGTATGTCTAAAAGCATTGAGAGTGGGAGTTGGGAAACAGGCATAAAAAGGAAGATTCTTTAATGAGATGGTTCTCATAAAAAAACAAAAAAATCCCTTTATTTTGTTCATACAAGTCTTACCCTGGCCTGTCTCTCAGCTTCTATGTTACTTTCATTTGCCTCAATATACAGTGCATTGTCAAATGCCATCTCATCATTTGAGAATACGACCACTGCATTCTGCATGGGGAAGTCATGTGCCTTTTTTCTGGGAAAGACACACCATCAATGTAAACACTGAAATACATTGTAATTAGCTAAATGTTGTAGAAGCATGTACACACTGTCAGAATTGTTAACAAATAGTGTTCGTTATAATACAACAGAGCACAAACAAAGGAGATAATGCACTAATGCTGCTAATGTGTTAGTTTTTATTATCACACTTTGGTAAAACACCAGCCTCTATGGTTTAGCAGTTATATAGGTGCTTTCACTATTGCACTGAGGGGAGAATTCTTATCCTGCATCTTGGTCTATGTTAAATATAGGTTTATATATATATATAAATAAATATATATATATATATTAAATGAGTCTTAAACCCAGGCTACTGTAGCCTTATACTCTGCTTCTGAGAGTATTTTCTGATTCCTTACTATAGTCTCAGAAGATCTTTTTACAAGCAGAAAAGCACACTACATTTCCAGAAAACACATATTATATAACTTCCTGGTCTTCAGACGATATATTGCTCTGAAGTTCTTATCATATTAAGGTCTTACCTTCTCCTACGCACAAACAGCAAAAGTAACAGCAAGAGAACCAGCAGCAGACCCGCCCCAATGATGCCCAAGTACCACATCTTGAACTCATGTTTCTCTTTCTGTTGATTGGACAACAGGAAGATCACGAGGTACAATTAACAACAGTTACAGGGATGCGTGGTGATGATGATGATGATGATGATGATGATGATGATGATGATGATGATGATGATG